ACAGAGGCTTGTAGAATCTCGCTGTTGTGCCAGGGGTGTTCCACTCCACCCTCCCTTATCTCATCTTCCTCTTCCTCTCTTGGCAACAGAGCTTGGCTGACGTGTGGGGAGGACTCATGGTTGGGCACGCTGGCCGGACTCGTCTCCTGGTCCAAAGGGTTAGCAATACCATCATCCTCAGCAATATGAAGCTTGTCCTCTTCGTCTGTTTCAGAACCTGTGTCCACTACATTGTCATAGTTCACCACTGCAGAAAAGTACAAAACACACACTCTCTAAACACTCTGTTGAAAAATATCAGCTACCCCTAATTGTTTAGTTAAATGGAAAATAATTAATATTTTCATAACTGAATTATTCAACCATGTCAGGAAAATATAATTAATATCCTTCATGTTTTAGCATTTTTATCCTTATTCAATTATAGCCGGGTGCTCTTTCTGGTTTTAAATAATTTTTTACTTAAAAACATGGGAAATTCTCAAAAGCAACAGAAGCACACTTAAAATATGCCTGTACTGCATATGTAAAAAGACATGGCAATATGCACTTTCAATACTCCACAAAAACTTATAAAATAGATCTACAATTGACAATTTTATTAGCTTAGTGACATGAAGTGTTTACTATATAATGTTGTACTATAAAGATGAGATGACTTCGCTGTATTAACTGTGGTTTTATTCCTAGAAACAGTAGACACACACACACACACACACACACACACAATGTCCATCTATTTACCCAAACACACAAACACATACAACAAACCTGTTCAATCTGAAATGTTCATTCTCGCTTCTATGTGAACCGTCATGTGCTAAGGCCATTTATATCCCAATCTTTTAAGCAGAAAATGAGGAAAAGCCATATCTTCTGGGCCATTAATACTACTATTGAGATGTCTTCATAGTGCCATAATTACAGAAGATTTCAAAGTGACACAGGCAAGACCAACACAAATGTTAAAATAACTCACAAGAACCGGCGGGCTGCTTTTGCAAGCCCTCAGTCCCAGCAATGCTCAGTAGCTTTTCTTAAAATAGACAGCCTGTAAATAAGGTCTGTGAACTCAATTGAAGGTGGCTGTTTCTGAATTAGTCAGCCCTCACAGGCTCTCGGCCTACATGCTAGTACATAAATTGTCCACTTTACCACCAGACAAGAAAGATTAGAGTAATAAACACGGGGCATTAGCTCAGCTAGAGAAACACACCAGCCGTTACGCACACACAGGATTGCCAAGAACTGTTAACCCAACTCTCCAGAAACACACACAAAAAAACAAGTTAGAACCATGACATCATGGGAACAAGAGGGGAAGAGAGAAAGAAGAAGAAAAAAAAAAAAAAAAAAAGCCCGTGGAAAAAAAAAAAGCGCAAACAATTTTCAGGTTCATTTTGATTTCTCTGCGCCTAATAAAGCAATCCTCCGCTAAGTTATCAACTGAGCTATCTCAAGTGGCTCTTGCCAGCTATCGGATTATACAAAAGTGGCAGAAAAGGAGGAAAAAAAAAATGAAAAGGATTGTGTGTCAGGTTCATAATGCTTTTGGAGAATTCTGGAAACATGTCTAGTTACAAATTTTAGTCAGTCATATCTGTTTGCTTTGACAGGTTCCCAGGGAGTAAAAAAGGAACAAAAAGAGAGAGATTTTTTTTGTCATGTGAGGCTGGGGACAAAAAGATTACACCGTGCATATCTGCTCATAATATGATCTTTGTATAATCCGCGGGTCTGCACTTGCCTTCCGAACAACTGCACAACAGGTGCAAATTAAAATGAAAACGGCAGCGGAGCCGGGCAAACAGAATCTGCTGACCTGGTTTGAATACCAATTGACGGGGGAAACAAAACCTTTTCAAGAGGTGTGACCACAAGGGCTTAGGCAAGTTCAGGCTGGGTAATGCCCTCAGATCTACAAAAAGAGAGATATTCTAACATCTCTGCTCTAGCTGTGTGGTCCAGATATACCTTAGTACAATCAATAATGTGCTTCTTTTTTTTTTTTTTTCCTGGTGACTGAGATTTAACCATTTCTTAGCAACAAGCAGAAGATTCTTTACAAATTTTCTAAATGCTGAGTGTGTGTGTAGGGGGGGGTGGGAATGGGGGGGGGGCTACAACAAAAGCTCCTAAGGCCTGGGAAGCTTTCAACCCACCTCCTAAAAACTGATCTCTGGGCACAGGAGGAATAAAGAAAGGTCCAGAAGGAGTGAATAAAATTATCTAAGGCTGGACAGGCATTAAAAGGCCTTTATCCTGGAAAAAAAAAAAAAAAAACCCATGGCTTTTAAGGTCTTTTTCTGCATAGACCACAATATCCCGTGTGACACGTGAGTGTTCCTGCAGCAATACAATTGAAATATTTTCTTGGGGAAAAAAAAAGAGATAAATGATTTATGAACAGCCCTTGAGGAGTCCCAAATATCAGAACAATCTAAACAAGCAATGAAGTCATGTCTCACCATATAGGGTCAGGAGTACAGCATCCATCACCTTCACAGGCCAACAATACTTCACAACCTTTAGGGTTCGTGCTCACAAATAGTAGTAAATACTTTTAAACTAAATAAATAACTGCTGTCAAGTTCACGTACAGAAGCAATATGCCATCTCTTCCCAGAGCTGCGTTAACTAGGATGTACATTTCCATAAGCCATTACGCTGGGGTGTCACTCGCCCTTCCCCAGCCTTTTTAACCCAGGTATAACAATTCATAACAAACTTAGTTTTTATATCTGAGTTCAAATAGCTAATATCATTCTGCTCTTTCTGGCTGATCTTCTGACAATCAAAGTGAAATCCACTGATATGGACACTGCACTTCCTGCTCCCCCACCCATCCCCCCAGGTCTAAAGCCCTAGGATTTTCCTTTCAATTTTTTTTTCTCTCAAGTCTGTTCAGTAGATTTGCCTGGTGCAAGTATTGGGGAAATTTTCAGCACAAAATTTTCTTACCAGAATGGCCCATACATGATGGGTTTAGCCCCATTTACAATATGAAATAAAAATAGGCTCATTTTCCCATTTGTTCCCATTTTGATCCTTTGCCCACCATCATCACCATTGGCAGAAGAGATCTTAATAATGTAGCTTTGTCTCTGCAAAGAAGAGATTCAATTTTGTATAATAACCAACCTATGCTGGTTTTAAATGAGGGTCACTGGGCAGAATATATTAGGCCAGTGTCTATTTTCGAACTTACGATACATATTTTTTTATTCAGCATGCAAAAGCGTGGAACCTCCTACACAACGTAGCAAAGTTCTATTCAGTCCTTACAGGTCAAATAAACTACCCCTTGCGTGAGTCTCAGCAAAAAATTTTATACATGTACTGGATCTACATGGCTGGCACAAAAACAGACGGTTACTTCAAAACCACAAAGAAGTGGGAGCCCAAAGAATTCCTTTCTGCAATTCAATAAACAAGAGGAAAGATGTACTGTTTGCTGGCTCAAAATAGACACTAATTTTACATCTGTCTCTGAGGCACAGCAAAAAGCCAACTAAAGAGCAGTAATAAATGTCCAAAAACAGCATCAGTATCCAAAACTCTCACAGTAATCTTCAGAGGAATTAATTACAATTCTGTGTAACAGTTGCATTGGCAAAACGTACCCATAATTATATACAGGTACTGTACTGTATTACAGGGAAATTTGCCATGTGATACCATGTTTACATGATAATTGATGGATAAGATAAAACTATTTGCATATGAAGTGCATATGAATTATTGGCATGGCTCACCATTTTATGTGGAATCATATTAAAGTTTCATTTTCTCTAAAACTGTATGTATAATATGGGGTTACCAAAGGGTATAAAGCTGATACTTAAATTTGCTTTATAGCAAATGGGCCTGGAAAGATATATCTGAATATGCATTACTAAAAACCTATATTTAAAAAGGCTTCATAGTTTATCTATAACGAGCATTATTTTCACTACATCAGATTACATTATATTAAATCCTCTCTATTCTTTCTTCCAAGAAAACAATACTCTAAATAGTATCACTATGCCAATTAATTTTACAGTCATATGCAAAACAAATAATGGTTTCTCTTCATTGCCTACACATATAACTTTTATTTTCAGATTTTTGTGTTCTGGTGACATGTAATAGAATAGCAGCAAAACGTGACATTTTTATAACGTCCATACCTGCTGGAAAATTTCAGCATTTGCAAAAATGCCCTATCATAGCATTTAAACATTGCTGATAATTAGCTTGACATTTGAAATACCAGAACTGTTGTTTTGAAGATGCCCTATACAACGTTACCTTACTAACCCCTTTTCCTACTTATATGCTTTCTCTACATTATCCTGTCAGTTGCAGTACAAACAAGATATCATTGCTAATGTATTAACATGCAAAAGAACTGATGTGAAGGGGCAATACTTCATCTTCTCCAGAAGCAGAAGTTTTATTGATGTAATGGAAAATTACGTATGCAGATTATAGACAGTTAATTGTTCATAAGGCCAGTCAATAATGATTTTCTATAACTCCACTCAAGTTAAGTGTGCCAATAAGTCTTCCAATGCCATCATCAAACATTTATTAAATCCAGAAGGTACAAGAAGGTGCCATTCTCACCTCAGGAGGTTTACAATCTATTTGGAGAAATAGGACCATAAAATTGGAGTGCCAGGGGGACACCTGAAGTCACCCCTGGACATGTTACAAAGGAAGTAATACAGGCGCAGTGAGGTCAAATGACTTGTCAAAGGCTGTACAGCCAGTTGGGGGTAAAGCCAGCACTAGAAAGCGTGTCCTCCGGCAAAACAACAGCCAAACAAAAACATACAGAATAATACAAATTCCCAGTGCAGAATGCCATCTAAATTTAAACTCCGCATGATCAGAGTAAGGGAATGGAAATCCCTGGGACTTTTTGGGATTTTCATGCTGCAAAATGGAGATTGTTGCTTAATTTTAAATTGTCTTGATGATTGTTACTTTCATGGATCCCTTTAATTTGAGTTATAGAAGCCTACCAATTTGATCAATTACCAGAATCTAACAATACACCCATGTTTCCTGCAATAGTTTGGAAACAATAGAAATAAAGAGGCAGTTCACAGAATTACGAGCTTGAAGACTTGCCTTGTCCCAGCACCAACGTGTAACCAGCTGTGTGGCCTTGGCCTGTCACCCAAGGAAACTTGGTACAAATGAGTAAAACTAATGATGATGGGTTCCCTATTTATGAGGTTGTCAGGTTGTCACAGG